TCAATAACTTAAAGCTATATTGCAATACGTAACCGAACAAAGTACCGATTTCCATTTTTAACTTTTCACCACTACTTTGCGGTTTTTATGGCTCAATCGGGTATTATTAGAGTGGGTGCTTATGCAAATTTCAATTTTATGCCGATTTTACAGCTAGCTGAAGGGGAAAAAGTCGACAAATGGGTGTGCACGAAGAAGCTGGGCGAGGGCGCCTGCGGGGCCGTGTTTTTGGTACGGTTTAATTTTACTTATTAGTAGGTTAAGGGCAATTATACATAGTTTAATATAGCATAAAATAGCGTATGATTTAGGTTAATTTTATATAGTTTAATATCGGAAAAAGTAGGTTAATCAAGTTTTTCGCGATGATTGTTGCGCAGTGCCATTTTTGGGGCTATATGTTTAAATGATTTTAAATGTTTTAGGTTAATTTTAGGTTATTTTTAGGTTATTATAAATAAATATCAGTCAATCAAAAAATCGTAATATACCTTTTTAATAGAGCTAACTAGCTTCCTCAGTATAGCTTACGTTTTTAAGGTGAAGCACACGGACGATGGACGTGAGGGTGCCCTGAAAGCCGAGGGAACCGAGGAGCCCGTCCCGGTGCGGGGTTTAATTTTTTAAAGATTCTTGTCTCGTGACTCTTGAAGCATTTTGGTTCTGTTCTATTTCGCGGGGGGGAAAAAACTGTGCGGGGGGGGAAAATATGCTTCGCGGAAACTTCATCTTTTCGCTATTTTCTCGGGATTTTTGCAACGCCATTCGATAGAGCATCAAAAAATATACTAAGAGTTTTTGTTTTAGCTAAAAATATCGTAATATAAAAAAGTTATAGCAAAAACAAAAAAAACTATTGAAACTGGTGCCGGAATATTTTTTTGGCATTTTCGCCAGGTTTTCGATATTGTGAACCTGTCATTCGATAGAGCATCGAAAAATATACTAAGAGTTTTAATTTCATCGAAAAATATGGTTTTATAAAAAAGTGATAGCAAAAACAAGTTTTATACGGTGTTTCCACATGGGATCGTGGAGTCGAAAGCTAGTTTTCGACATTTTCGATATTTTTCAAAAATTCCTTTAATGCCATTCGATAGAGTGTCAAAAAATATACTAAGAGTTTTAATTACAACTCAAAATAGAATCATATAAAAGAGTTATAACAAAATGAAGAAAATTTTCCCCCGCACAGTTTTTTCCCCCCCGCGAAATAGAACAGTACCAGCATTTTAATTAGTTATAATTTTGTAACGACTTGTAAATAACCGAAACTCCCTTAACATTTAAAAAAAATGCCCCGCGAATTTTAGGATTTTGAAACGATGTTTCATCAATTTTCCCTAAACAACCTTTTGTAGGCTCAGTAATCCATGTATCGTGCAATTTTTTTGGCCGTTTGAATTAGCTGTAACATCCTTTCGGAACCCCGCCAATATTTCATTTTTTTTTGATTTCTGAAAGGTGTTTCAAAAATTGTGAAAAATGGTAGAAATATCACATGCATATTGTTCCGCCGTTATCGCTTACACCAATATAAGTTTGGCTAAGCTCCAGATAACCCCCCCCCAGCCGACCCCCACCTACCGTATCTCGGCTCCCTGTTCATCTACAGGTGTGTAAAGTATACCAAAATGTTCGTCTTGCTGTGGCGAGTATTTTGGTATACTTTACACACTTGTAGATGAACAGGGAGCCGAGATAAAAAAGTTGGGTGCCGGCTGGGGGGTTATCTGGAGTCTTACCATAAGTTTTATTGCTTCCAATTTACAGCTGCTGCGCATGGAGGCGATCGCGATGATGGACCTGGCAAAGGGGCGGTGCCGTCACGTTGCCGAGCTCATGGATAAGGTCCTTTTAAGACACAAACTTTTATTTGAAGGGTCAACTTTTGAAAATTAGTTTTAAAAATTCAGAAAAATTTTATGTTTCATATCTTTGTTGAGTTTTTCATAATATGTCTCGAGGTAATAGAGGGTGCTCCCGTTTTTGGTGACCAAAAATTACAAAAATTTGGCGTGGTGGCAAATTTCAGAAAGTTAAGGGTATTTCAAAAATACAAAATGACGACTAATCGGCTTTTAACCCCCCCCCCCCGTTAACAGACCAGTACCACTCTCCAGGTAGCTCCTGAAAAATTCCATGTTTCGATTTTTTTTTCTACTTACTCATCAATATTGGCAAGCTAATTGAACAATGTCAAGGTCGACACCCAAAAAAGCCTTGTAAAATCGATAATCTTTTTTCCGGTTGGATCTTATTGAATCCTGGATTTTTAGGGAAAACAGGACAACTTCAACTGGATTGTGATGCGACTGGTGGGGAAGAGTCTGCAGGATATGAAGAAGACTGGACCCAATCAGCATCTGTCGCCCGGTACGGTCTATCCCTCTCTCTCTCTCTCTCTCTCTCTCTCTCTCTCTCTCTCTCTCTCTCTCTCTCTCTCTCTCTCAATACGCTCTCTATTCCAGGTGTCGCCATCTCGGTGTCGATCCAATGCCTCGAGGCCCTGGAAGACCTTCATGTGGCTGGATATCTGCATCGGTTGGTTTAAGGAAATAACCCGGGCAGGCTAGCAGAAACAATTTGCGGAACTGAGTTTTCTAAAGACCTAAAACAACTTCTAAAAGGATTGGCGAAACCAAACACTTTTAAAATGTCCTGGGAATCGGTGTTTCAGATCGGAAAGTCGTGTTTTTCTGCTCCTAACGTCGAGTTTCTAGCATATCACCGACCTTCAAAATTACTTCAAAAAGGGCTAAATTTAAAAACTAACTAAAGACTATCTAAGGCTTAAGTGCAGTTTACCCCCCCTCCCAGCGCACCCACCTACCGTATCTCGGCTCCCTGTTCATATACAGGTGTGTAAAGTATACCAAAATGTTCATCTTGCTCTGGCGAGTGTTTTGGTATACTTTACACACCTGTAGATGAACAGGGAGTCAAGATACGGTAGGTGGGTGCCGGCTGGGGGGGGGCTGTTAAACTGTAATCTAACAAAACTCCTAAAGACACTATAAAAATACATACTGTAGGATCAACAACACGTGAAAAATAAAAATGATCCAGCCCCCGGAAACAGCTCAGCACCAAAATCTTCCTATTTTTAAGCCCGTGTGAAAATGTTCTATCCTTTTTGGAAGTCACAAACTGCGCAAAATATGCTTTCCCGTTAATCCTCACCCCCGCTAACAGGCCAGTACCTCGATTTCCCAGGGACATCAAGCCGGGCAACTTTTGCGTGGGCCGCGCCGAGACGAACGAGTTGCGCAAGATCTACATCCTCGACTTTGGCATGTCGCGTCGTTTCATCGGCCCCGATGGCGTCATACGCAAACCCCGTCAGGCCGCACAGGTATATTTTTCGCTGGTGAGATTCCTTGATATTAAATGCTTAATTTTTCCGGGTTTATTGGGCATTGCTGAAACACCTACTTGTCTTTTTTTGCCCGTAAGAAATATTAATTATTTTGTTCATCCGGGTTTTTTATGTAATGTTGAACCACCTATTTTCCAGTTCCGCGGCACCCCTCGCTACGCTCCGATTGCCAGCCACGAGAGCCGCGACCACTCGAGGAAAGAGGAATTGGGTATGGTGCGGGCTTATGTATTATCGGGGGGAGCACTTTTCCCTATGAGCACAGAAATGCCTAGCTATGGTACTAGGTAGTTTAATAGTTTTTTCAAAAAAAATTTAACATACCTTAAAGGGCTAGTTCAGCCTATAAAACAAAAGACTTTCTGCGGTCAGGAGTCGAACCCTCTCTGCGTTTTTGTGTCTGCGCCTCTCCCTTTTCCCTAATCTCGAATAGCTGCCGTAATGGGGGACTGTTCGGGCGCACTGTGCCTCCGTCCATAGTTTCCCAAGGTACCAACCCAAGCTCTAAAAGTTGAACCAGCCCTTTAAGTGGAAAAGCTATCGAAAAAACTTTAAATACTTTGGAAATGGCGGTATTTTAGTCGAAAATCGGCCATTTTCGTCGAATAAGCGAATTTTTGCATTTTTTAATGACAAGTTTTCCGTTTAGGAATAACAATAAATGTTTAGAAACACTTCGTCTAATTATTTTCGACAAAAATAAATCGATAGAATAAAGTGGGGTCCCCCTGATAACGCGAAAAGAGCCATAAGTTGCTACGTTTAAAGTGATCTAATTTACCACTGAACGATTGTAACTTGTATTTTTTCGAAAAATGGTATAAAATTGTATATTTCGACGGTTTTCAGAAGTTTCAAATTTTCCCTAGCTTTAGCATCCTTTCCTTTAAGGCCTTATCAAATTTACTATCTTTATAACCCCGGATTTAAATGAAAAAACAGCAAAAAATTCATGTTTTAAAGAAATACAAAGCCCGCAAACTTTGATCTGGCATACTTACTGGTCCTGTTTGGTTTTGCGAAAATACTTAAACAGCACTTAAATTTTTAATAATCAAACATGGCTGAAAAGATGGCTAATTTTCCTCTCAGAGAGCTGGTTCTACATGCTGGTCGACTACACGAACGCGAAACTGCCGTGGAAGGGCGTCACCGAGCTGAACGATGTGATTCAATCAAATAAATTAAAAATTAACATTAAAATGGAATATGGCTTCCTAAAAACACTATTAAAACACTTTTTTTTGAGGTGGGCCAGGCAAAGAGGAAGGCGCGCAGCGACCTGAACACGTTCTTCATCGACTGCCCGAAGAAGGAGTACGCCCAGATACTCGCCATGATTGACGCCCTCCAGGTAGCCGCGCGCATTAACTGAATTTGATTTTTTGAGTAAACTTATTTTCAGGAAGTATCACTTCAGTACAATAGCTAGATTTAAACTTCGATGAGGCATTGATAATTTAAAGCTCGCCAAACAAATTATATTAATAGAAGCTACGAAAAATTATCGTTAAAGCTTGATGAAACATTCAATTAAAACGTTTTAACTACTGAAAGTCTGAAGCCGTATTTCCCAAATGGCTATGAATTAAGTTTTAAGAAAATGCTATAAACTCGGTATTTTTTATTACTTTATTCAATACTAATTGGGTGGCGCAGCATTAGGTGGCGCATTTTCTATTTTTGGGATGCTGAAACATCCAAAATTAAAGCTTTGGCGCTGTTTCATAAAAAATGACGCCAATTGTTTCTTTTTTTTGCGAAATTTCGCTTTCGTCGAAAAACCTATGAGCTTCAAATAATGTTAAAATTTCAGTACTACGAGGCGCCGCCCTACAACAAGATCTACGAGATCCTGCGCAAATGCATGAAGGAGCACAAGGTGCGGGTTTTGCTTTTCGAATTGAATTGATTATTTGACTTTTTACGCTAAATAACACAATGTCAGTCATTAAGCAATTAAAATCTACGTAAAATTTGCATAAATTTAGATGCACGAATTCCCGTACGACTGGGAGCCGGAAGCGTCGAAGCAGCCCGGCAAGAGTGGCTCCGGGCCCAAGAGTGGATTTGTGGGTCGTTAGAATTGGACATGTTTCAAAGTTATGGTTTGCCGGGGAATAGAACTTAAGTTAATTGAACCAAGTGTCGCCAACGCACGATTTTGCTTGTCTGCAAAAATACGGATTAATTCAATTAATTAAGTAGCGATTTCATGAGAGCCATAATCACTGGGAAAACCTACAGCAATGAAACATTTTTAAGCAACTTCGCGGGATTTACTGTAGAACAAAAGTTTCAAAAAGTTGTCATGTCCGCGCCAGCTAATTTTAATTATTATAAGAAAGAAAAGATTTGGATGCGGAAAAGTGATGTTACATAAAAATTAATTTACCTTTTTCAGCAATTTCGGCTTTAAACTTTTTTGAAACCCATTTTTTATGCTGTTTACTATTTTTGTTGGTACGCCACAAATTTATGCAATGCATTACGTGGCTGACGTTTTTGCAGACGGTGGTGAAGGGCTATAAGCGTGCCCAGAAGTCGACTTCGCAGTACGATGGAGCCTGAGCCGGAAGCGTCGCGCCGCCGCCACCTCGACCCTCATATTTAACCCCCGTCCTCGCCTAACGTATCCCCCGATTACTGTGCAATAAATAATCTGGAAAAGATTGTTCGATTTACCAATACGCCCGGATATACACGAATTGCCTGCTCTGGCACCATGGATTAAAATTTTTGGATTATCAGCCTTTTTGAAACATTAATTTTAAAATACTTTTCAAAGAAGCCGAGAGCCTTGGGAACTGCTTATTTTCACTATATAAAACTATATATAAAAAAAATAGTGTCTGTGTGTGTGTCTGTGTACATTTGCATGCAACTTCCGTCAGCGTGTTCCAGTAGTATCTCAATAAGGGGAGTAGTTAATATACTTTTTTTTTGGAAATTCGGGGCTTATGGGATGTTGCCGGCAGAAGGTGGCCCGGCCCCCCCCCCGCCCCATTATTTGCTGTTTGCTAGTCGCCTGCGGGCATGCAAATGTGCGGTCGCCATCAATAGTTTGGCGGCAAGACAGCTATTTGAAAATGTCGCGTCAGTCCACTCATTCGAGGCGCTCCCTGATTCCATCGTTCGTTAATCTAGCTATCCTACGATTCAATTGTCGGCCACCACAGAAAATGTAGGGGGTGTATTTTTGCTGATGAAGTCGATGCAATTTTAAACTTGCCAACAACGGATTAAAACGGCGTTTACATTTCCAGGGACACCAGGGCTGTCGACCACCTGTATTCTCTGTGGGAGCTAGTGCGCTGGATATTCGGACCGGATTTCCAGACTCCATTCGGCCATCTCATTTGTATCCCGATATTAATGATGTTGGCAACGATGATCAGATACGCCGTCAGGTGATTCTCGCTGACAGGCTACCTGTCAGGGCATTCGGGGCGCGATAATGGATTGTAAGCGAGACGTAGGACGCGAATTGATTGCCGACAAACCATTTTCTCCCTAAAATAGGCCTAGCGCTGCAATTTTTTCCCCTACGTGATTCGATCAAATTAGAGGGACGGCTTAATATTGTTCAATGAATTGGTATCATAATGTCGAAATTCATAATGTCGAAATTTCATAATGTCGAAATTTCATAATGTCGAAATGTCATAATGTCGAAATTCAGAATGTCGAAATTTACATAGGCTAATATTACCGGTGAAACCGCCAAATCCTAGCCAAAAATTTTTCCATATTCTATTTTTTTAACCTAAGGCTCCGACAACATTTTTTGCCTAGAATTCGGGGACTTTACCGGGAGTTTTAGCTTATGTAAATTTCGACATTCTGAATTTCGACATTCTGACATTTCGACATTATGAAATGTCGACATTATGAAATTTCGACATTATGAAATTTCGACATTATAAAATTTCGACATTATGAAATGTCGACATTATGAAATTTCGACATTATGAAATTTCGACATTATAAAATTTCGACATTATGAGTTTCGACATTATGAGTTTCGACATTATGAAAATAAGCCTTGTTGAATACACCGAAGTGCCAACTTTCAGAGGTAAAATTGCCGTATTTACCCTATCATGCATTAGTTTTTCCAAGTTGAGCTGCTTAGAACCACTCCCACTGCGGATAATGAGCATTCCCGCCAAAAATTTCATTTTGACGGGGTTTTTTTGCCCCGAGTGCAGGGGGGGGTTTTGATTCATAAGCCGGGCTCCTAAATTTTCGATCACCCGGAAAGGGGATCGTACTAACAAGGAGTCGCTTTTAGGTGCTTTTGGAGTGCTTTTGGAGATGAACATCATCTTCAAGCAGTTCGGCGAAGTTGGTGCCAAACTGCTTGCAACTCATTTGGGGGTCGTTTGGCAGCATTTCTTCGAGGTTGTTCAAGGCGGCGGACGATTTCGAGACGTTTTTTTCTAACCGCCCTAGCGGGCTGAGCTAAGCTGCTCAAAAGCTGAAACTCGTTACACGGATAGAACTTTTCGCGCTCTTTCGAATAATGTACTTGGCACCCAAAAATACTTAATTTCAAGCGAGATATGATGGTTTTGCTGCTGCGACAACTTCGGCAAGTACGCCTTTCAGCACTAAAACGCTCCTATCTCTGTCCCCAGACGGTTTCGTGTAACGTTAAGTATACCATTGGAAAGAGCGTGAAAAATGCCATAATTTAAACTGTTTGACACAACTCTAATGTTGTGGTTTAGGGCTGCTAGGGCGGTTAGAAAAAAACGTCTCGAAATCGTCCGCCGCCTTGAACAACCTCGAAGAAATGCTACCAAACGACCCCCAAATGAGTTGCAAGCAGTTTGGCATCAACTTGTCCGAACTGCTCGAAGATGATGTTCATCTTCTGATTTGGTCAAAAAAGCCTAGAAAAGCACCCCGGGGTGCTCTCTTTGGGGTGCTGTCCAACACTACCGGTCACTACCCCGAAAAGTCACTACCCCGAAATCGATTACTCCGAAAAATGATAGCATTGTTTTTCCCGAAAAAATCCAGTTTTCATTCGGATTTCCTATAAAAATCATTCAAATTATTTCGGGGTAGTGACTTTACCCCGTGCCAGTGCTACGGTGGTTTCGCGTCGTAACAAAAACAACTTTATTTTCAGTTTTCGAAGGGGGCTTTCGGGGAAATTGCACCCTTGCATATTGAGTGAATCTTCTTCTTTAAAGGGCTGCCGACGGCATGTGTCGATCCCCCCCCATCAACAAATTGGCAAGTAGCCAACGGGAGAGAGCGCGCCCAGGGGAGAGGCGCAGAGACATTTTCTTTTCAGCGCGTAACCGATTGACTATGCCGTCGGCATCCCTCTAACCCAGGAGTTTAACCCATTGAGACCACGCACTTACATGACTTTGACAACGCGAACTCTTAAGCAAAATGAGAGATCCTTACAGGGAGTGCTTTTTTTGAGTCATCAGCAAAACCTTACGAGACCTAGCTCATTCGATAGAGAATTTGATTTTGAACAAGACTCCGTTGTTCCTTTTTGCAGAATGGCTATCCCTGATTTTATAAAATTAAGATACTAGTGACCGTCTCTTACCATGCGTGCTTTTCGAGCCAAAAGAGAGGCTTTTGGGTGCAGTTTTAAAATTTTATAAAATCAGGGATAGCCATTCTGCAAAAAGGAACAACGGGGTTTTGTTCAGAATCGAATTCTCTATCGAAGGAGCTAGGTCTCGTGAGGTTTTGCCGATGACTCAAAAAAAGCACTCCTTGTTAGCCGAATGGCGATGCAAATCGTTGCAAAGTCTAACGAGAGTGCACCACGCTGCAAAACGTGGGGGAAAAACAGTATTTTGGGCACTGTTGGGGCCGGCCTGACTATTTCTTGCATTTCTTTTTGCTAAAAACAAAACTCATATTATTAGGTTGGACCGAAAGTCCTTATAATCGAACTTCGGAAATTCCTCTCTAAAGGTTTTGTGCACCGCCAAGGTTGTTTCTTTTTCAATATATTTGTTGACTTCAATAGTATCTTGGATAACAATTACAAGCTTTTAGCCCCAGAGATTTTTATTATTTTTGTGTTTTTGTCTGAGGGGTCTCAAATTTTAGACCCTGACATCTTTCCGAAGAGCCATAAAGTTACCATGGGAATGGGATACTATCATGATAATACGTTTTCGCAACTAATTTAATGCCGAAAGAGGCAAAGAAGTAAATCGGAACGTGTTGGTGAACAGCGGAACGAGGCGATGTTCCAATTTATTGTAAATCAAACTGAAAAAATTCTAAAGGAAACGCCTTTCGATTCCGACCCCCGGGCCAAATAGAGCATTTGATAGTGCATGCGTCTATCGCAAAAACATTTTATTTCTGACTCGTTTTCTGGAAAGAAAATATGAAAGAGTCAAAAATATTACAAGAACTTTCGGTCCAACCCAATAGTATATTTTTCGCTGCTCTATCGAATGGCGCTGCAAAAATCCCGAAAAAATACGGAAATATCGAAAAAAGCATGGCTGCTCTGTCCGCCTGGCTGTGTTCTGTAGCATACATACAGGGTGTCCCATAAAAAAGCACCCCTCCGGCATTTCGCCGTATTACATCCGATCGGTCCCATAATTCGCAGAAGGGTGTATCTGACCCTAAATAACCACAATCCTGAGTTATAGCCAGATCGCTACAGTAGTTTCCGAGTTATTGCCAAAATACTATTTTTTACGCAATTCTTAACAGTTTTTTCGGCTTCTTTTTGGACTTTGCATCGATTTGCATCGACTTCCGGCTGCGAATCCCTAATTTCGCTTAATATCGGGGTGGCATTCCGTTACAAAAATTGTTGAAACCAACGTTTATTTGATTAACTTTTCTCAAGAAAAAATTGCTAGGGGTAAAGAAGGCTTGCCGCTTCATTTTCACTTAATATTCAAAGGGTCGATTCCGACGAAAACCTTATGAAAAACGGATGAGAAAGTTTATTTTTGTTTTATCTCGAAAATTACTGTGGGTGGCGGGTTGTAACTCAGGATTGTGGTTATTTAGGGCCTGATACACCACGGTTCCAATTTTGGGACCGATCGGATGTAATACGGCAAAATGCCGGAGGGGTGCTTTTTTATGGGACACCCTGTATACCCGATTAGGGAGGCGGCCGAGTGGGAACGTTTTCACCTGATGAGAGGGCGACTTAAATGCGACATTGCGCCATCGATCCGAATCGATTTTGGCCTTCGCGCCGCGTTTTAACTACGGTTTTGGCCGTTTTGTTTTTGAAAAGTTTTCTTCACTTTCCGCCCAGATTCCAGCCCGTCGGGTGATCGATCAGTCAATCATTCAGTGATTCGTCTTCTTCAAACGTTGTTGTCTATAAATGCCCCCGGGCCACCCCTTATTAATGCTTGTACATTAATTAAACATTAATCCCTTATAGCGCCAAGGCTAATTTTCATTTCTTTTATTATATACGTTTGATATTCCATGCTGGCTCTTCTCCCCTAAAAGCAGCTTTTTAAATTCCCTGCCGCCTAGAAATCGGCGTGTTTGTCAATAAAACGTCTTAATATGTTGCACAAGTGCACCGCAAAATAAAATATTTCTACAGCACGAAAAACCATATAAAGAACCTATTTTTAGAGCAGAGAAACTTTGATTCCGGCTACGGTTTACTTTACCCCCCCCCAGCCGGAAGTTTTTGGCTCTAACTTTTTTATTTTACATTATTGTAGGCTCAAATTAAAAATCGTAGTATATTTTTTGGACGCTCTATCGAATGGCGTTGCGAAAATCCTGACAAAATAAGCGAAAATACCGACAACTTTGAGACCCTTCGGCTGTGGGGGGGCAAAGTAAACTCTTACCTTGATTCCCTCCGGCTATTCTATGCCCCCGTATTCACACGAACCCGGCTGAAAATAGACATATCGCGTACCAAAACATAGTTAATTTTATTGGGATGATGTGGGATATTAGTATTCGAGCGTAAAATGAAACTAGCTTAGACGGTATGCTGGTATTGAGACACATAAGGCGTTTTATTGGCAAAACCAGCGTCCAAACCTCGCTACGCTGTTGCCAGACGACTTCGAGGAGATGTGTGGTACGGACTTTCCACGGAAATGGCTTGGAAAGTCCCAAAAAAAACGAGCTGCAAAACTCATCGATATATTAAAGACCGTCAGAACGATGAAATATCGTTTAGAGCAAGAAAGTTGCGCACCGGGTGGGGGGTCGAACCCTCGATGGTTCGCTCCACAGTCCGACGCGCTAGCCACTATACCACATGGCCAAGTGGGGAAGGGAGTCAGAGGCGCCTCAAACCCCAGTGGGTCTTTGCCCAATACGGGACACCACTAATGACGACCCTCTCTGCGCGTTCTTGGGGGCAGCACCCTCGGGGTGACAGTGCGCGTTCCATCGTTCTGGTAGTCTTTAAGGCATAGGAACAGCGAGACGTAAAGAGGTGTGGTACGGACTGTCAACGGAAATGGCTTAGAAAGTGCCGAAAAGCGCATCGATGTGTCTGCTCCATTTTAACAAAATTACTGCACACTTTTTTATGTTGCTCTTCCAGTTGAATCATAAGAATCTTTGTTTCGAATCCGCCTGACAACTCTCACCACTGGGCCTTCAATCTATCGAAATACTCCTCGATCGATAAATCCTGCACAATCTCCTCGCCGAGCACGTTGCGCAGCTTTGTTTTTCTGGAAAAAAAAGAGGATTTAACAGTCACAGCAACCAATAAAAAATCAATTTAATGCAGCCATGAATCCGATAGCGATAATCCCTACGGCTAAATTCCCCCGGTAGGGGAATAGGGACAACCAAAATGACGCTTTAGCGAAAGACGCCCACCTGGCCCACTACGTGAACTTATCAGCTTGTGGCAAAGTCACCTTGTAGGATTTAATAATCCATTTGAGGTTAGCATTAACCCGAGACTTCCTTGGGAAGGCTCTTAATTTTGGAACGCGGCTTTTCGAAGCCGCACTAAAAGCAAATGGGAGCAAATTCGGGAAGCCATTTTTGCTCGGATTCTGATCGTCCAATCCGTATGTATCTCTCTCTACTAGCATGCCCCGACCGGAAACGCTTCTTGACCCTTTTTCCATTCATACGATGACTGTCAAGGCTCTATGAGGAAGCGAAACACGCCCTTTTGGCCGTTCTATTAGCGACAGTTCCTCACCTGGCCCACTACCCTGACTTATTGTCTGCGGCGAAATGGTGTCGTACGGATCTGATCAATCCATTTGAAGTTTGCATTAACCCGAGATTTCCTTTTGGAAGTCCCTCAAATTTTGGACCGCAGCTTTTCGAAGCTGCACTATTTTCTGGAGTGCTTTTCTCCTGCATCAAGGGTGTTCAAAGCTTGACCTGGACTGGGGTCGTATCAGCATTTTCTTTCTCGTCGAGGTACACAGATGAGGGAAGTATTGACGACGCCACCTGGCCAGCCGCTTTTTACACAATTCGTGCCCAAAGATAATGATTAACGGCATGACGGCTTCGAGGAGGTAGCTCAACTGAAAAATAGGCTTTAAAAGCTCTGGTATTATAAAGTTTCGCGTTCTACAATTAACACCGAAACCCTACCGTCGATCCTAACAACCAGAAAAATCGATAGCCCTCAATTTCGCGGCATAGTGATGGGTCGAAAAGGCTGTCAACAAACCAGATACCGTAGAATACCATATCCACTACCGTGATTATGTTGTCAACCAAAACGAGTGGTAGCATCAGATTTACGGCTGTAATTAACAAAATAAGAAGAAAACTGGAAAAATCGTAGATTTTTTTCGAAAAATGGATGTTTCGGGTGCCAAATAAGGGCGTGATGGTCGGAAGGTACCGCGACACTTGCGGCGAGGACACTTGCGGTGCGACACTTGCGGCGCGACCTTGCGGTTATTTAGTATAAACAATATAAAAATAGTTTAAGATAAGCTGCTTCCGAATTTGGTATTAAAGAATTATAAAAAGTCGGGGCTGGGACCGAAGTCACTCAATTTGGAGGGAATGTGGCCGCTACTTCCTCCGCTCTGCGACTAAAAAAAAGGCTTCGTGCCACCCGGGGCCTAGTCGCTTCGGATGGGTGCGAGCTCGTACAGGGTTTCTAAATCGGGGCGCCCGAGGATCGCGAAGCGCCCAGGCGCCCCGATTTAGAAAGAGTGGAGCGGCAGCCCATCCGAAGCGACTAGGCCCCCTCTGGCACGAAGCCTTTTTTTGCGAAGCCCATCCGAAGCGACGACCCACCTTGGCCGACGCCCCCAGGGGCGATCCGACTGCGGGTCGGTTAAATGGCTACTCAAATCCAACAATTACAAGCAAAATCCGTGAAGAAATGCTAAATTTACAACATTTAAAAATCATAAATGCTGCGCCGGATATGGCTCGGTATTTGGCTGTAGAAAAAATGTTTTGGGAAAATGATAGGAAAGCGTTTCACAGAAAATTATTCGATTTGACTGGTGTCTTTCAAGGAGTATTTTAACTTATTACTAAAAAAACTACCGTACCCTTCACATTCTCCGCCAACTGATATCGCATCGTCAGGCTTTTCTGCCGTTTCTCGTCGGCCATTTTCCGAATACAGCCCCGATTGACGAGATAGAGGCATAATAAGCTCTAGAAAACCGCGAATAGCTTTAATTAATTTTTTTAGGTAAATTTAAGTCGAAAAAGCACCATTTTAACTTACCAAAAGGTTAAAAATCGACAACACACAAAGACTCTTGTCGACAAAATCGGAAAAATCGTCGCTGTCAACTGAAAAGAAACGCTTTGGGTAATTATGGTGTTGCGCGATTGGTTTTCTCATTAATGCATGTAGTTCTCATTGGAAAAATATTCATCAAAAATGGAAAAGATAAACTTTATAAAGCCTACCATATTGAAGTGCCATGGCCAGCGCGAAGGCGAGCTAAAAAGGACGGGTTTTTTAAATTTCAAATGTCAAATTTTTCATCATCCATGTTTTAATTATTAATTAATTTCACGCAACGCCTGCGCAGCTTAACCGCCGTAAAGCTTCGCGTAATCGACTACGCACCAATAAGTTGGGGTGCACCCGGTGTTGCGTGTCGCGATGCGGTAAAATTCACAGATGATTTAACGGTTAAATATAAATTTTAACCGAAACCTTTTTTCTCCAAAATCTTCTAATTTTATACTTTTTGTTTTTAGTTAGTCAAGAACACTTCCCAAATTGTATTTAAAAATTGCGTTTCAAATTAATTAGAATAAAATAAAGCAGAAACAAATTTAATCAGGCCAGAATTTGCAAAAAGTATGTGTCAAATAAAATGCAATGTCCTCGCACTCTTTTGCATCGAGTAGAGCGCTCCCAAGAACTTCCATCCAAAATACTGCAATTGAGATCGATTTATTCGGCGCTTTCGCAGTATCGGGGGGGGGGACTAATTTTCTTTCATTATGATCCAATTTTTCAATAAAAAAATAGACAAGGTGTTTCTAAGCTCCTTCTTATTATTCATAGCCGTAAAAACCTACGAAATTGATTAAAAATATATAGATTTTTGGACCAAAATGTCACAAGTTTACAAGTTTTTAAATCGGTTTGTCTTCGAATCGTAAAATTTATTAAAAATGTGATTAAAACAGTTACTTTTAGTTACTAGGCATTTCGACGTTTTGAGGAAAAATTGGTAGCCTCTCCTCCCCCTGTTAATGGGAAAGAACCAAATCCTACTGTAACTAATTTTTCAATGGATTTTCTGCTCAAACAAAAATGGTTTTAAAGATAAAAATTGAAACAAAAAAATCGATTTCAGAAATTAAATGTAGTACAAATAATCAGAAAGTTGCGGAGAGTTTTTCATTTTAATTGCATATTGTTTTTTTTCTTTCTACTCTTTTTAATATTCCATCTAAATTCTTTAAATTGTATTTTTAAATGCACTGAAATTAAAACTAACGCATATCGGCGGTGTGACGATCAACAAATACCATGGCCGTCGCTTCTCGTAGTTACGGTAGGATACGGTAGCCACGAAACGCTCCAAAATACAGCACGATCCGAGGGGTGCGATGAGGAAATAGAGCGTATCACTGGCCGTACCCAGGGCTACGGTAGTCGGGGAGGATGGATCGGATACGGAGAACAGCTGAAAAAAAATGTTTTGTCCAAACTTCAATAAAAATTCTGGATTGGTCGCGCAGTGCCAAGTTTTTAATGTTTATAAAAAAATCTGAAATGTAAATCATAGGATTTAAAAAACTATTAAAAATTAGATGGTCACCTTCAGTTGTAATAATATCATATGGGATTTGTGAGATTCTGCTGAATTTTTTAAGAGAAAAATTATGTCATGCGATTGACCGTGCTTAGCCTGTTTTTGATTATTTTAATAGCGCTTGTTTCACACTGTAAATGGAACCGTCTTAAACTGTTGGCGGGGGAGGGAGGTAATTCTTAATAGGCCGGCCACCTGCTAATAATGGGATTAGCGATTTAATATTATAAGGAAAGTTATAAAAATATTGTAAAAGATTTTGAAAATCGGGAAATTTTAGGTCTAAAAACTACACAAAATGTAACATTTAAAATGTTTATGAATGACCTTACGGTAGTACTGGAAAAATTTTTATTCTCCCCGTAACTCCCCGGCCTCCCCTGCTAACAGTACGGTAACAAAAAAGTGGCACTTGATATTCGGAGATACACATGTCAATGCGGAAAAGTGTTTGAGTGCGGCACGTCGCAAAACCGAAAACCCACCAGATAGTTTTGTCATGCATTTTTTTAGTACGTATTGATAGAAACTTTAGAAGATAGAAAGAAAGAGAAGAGCCTAGAAACTACAGAAATTTATAAACATACTTTCCCCCAAGGATCTCTGCCAGCTGGCCTACCTTGTACGGCAAATAGACAATGTCACAGCTGATGTAGGCGGCCAGGAAGAGGATGAAATGGCAACTGAAAATGTGTTTCAACCACGCAACAAAGTAAATTTTTTGGGATTTCCTTACTGTTTCGTACTTCAATTTTCAACTTACCGTTCAGGACCTCATTTGATTTACCGTATTTCCTCTAATAAAGCCCTCAAAAAATTTCGAAGTTGTCTTTAATAAGTGAAAAACGGCCAAAACTCTATGTTTAACCTTCATACCCGTTGCTGAGTGTTTTTCGGCAGTTTGCACTAGAAAATTAACGCCGACGGTAAGGCGCGGTACTGTACGGTTACCGGGGGGGGGGGGGGGGCTATTTTTTTCTTTTCCGCCACGACCCGTTACTAATATGTAAACTATTTTCATAGGGGTTTTTGGTAGGTTTTGATTACTCAGAAGTTACAAAAAAACATGTAACATCTTTTAAACTTCTGCAAAATTTAGGGTTTTGGCGATTCTCAACGGCTTTGCATCACGGTTAAAAATTTAAAAGCATTCATTATTTTTTTGTACCGGGCGTTTTAGAGTTAAAAACCGTGTTAAAAATTATTTATATTACGTTATACGGCCCTTTGGGGTTACTGTAGGAAAGAAATAGTTTTCCGTTACTAAAATCCTCCCCCCGCTAACAGTCCAGTACCAGTATGGTGTAGGGTGTTGTTCGCGGGTGTAGAGAAACCAGACCAAAAATTATCCATCTCCAAGCCTTGCCAGTACCTTTAACCCAAAAAAAGGATAATTTTTAATCCGAATGCGCGCCAAAATTTGGTCTGGCAGATATCGTGTAGAGATCAAAAGAGCCGCGAATCGTCGAGCACCACAATTTTCCGAAACATTCTTTTTCAAGTCGCGATTTTCGGCTTTTTAAGGTTTTTTGTGGGTTTTAATTATAAATAAATACCTGAAAATTGGGTGAAAAGCACGGCGTTGACTGCAGACCAGAAGGAATAAAAGCCCAAAAAACATGACTGGCAGGATGTAGAGGGCGGCCGAGATGTAATTGATGGTCTTAGAGGCCGCTTTACAAATTTGATGTTCCACCGAGAGGTTCTTCGGCATTGCTTGAAAAATTGGTAATTTGCTATGGGTCTCTAACACAAAATTCGAAAATTGGCAATGCACAAAAAGTTGTTTCAAAAATTTACGAGTAACACGTGACATTAATGCTCGCTTCTTGTCTATCAGAACCTCTCTACCGAGCTACTTTTTTGCATTTTTTGAAAGTAGTATAAAGACGGGAAAAGGAAAGCAAAAAAGAGTTAAAGCAAAATATAGCTAAATAAAATTTATTTTAATTCACGAAAATTTACCAACAGTAAAATAAAGTACATAAAACAACAAGGAATGGCTCCCCGACACTTGCGGCGCGGACACTTGCGGCGCGACACTTGCGGCGCGACATTTGCGGCGCGACACTTGCGGCGCGACACTTGCGGCCGACACTTGCGGCGCGGTCATTTGCGGCGCGACACTTGCGGCGCGACACTTGCGCCCGACACTTGCGGCGCAGAATTTATTATTTTAAAATGTTGTAAACTTAGCATTTCTTCACGGATTTTGTTTGTAATTGTTGTATTTGTGTTCAAAATTAGCAATTTAACCGACCCGCAGTCGGAACGCCCCTGAGGGCGTCAGGCAAGGTGGGCCGTCACTTCGGATGGGCTGCCGCTCCACTCTTTCTAAATCGGGGTGCCTGGGCGCTTCGCGCTCCTCGGGCGCCCCGATTTGGAAACCCTGTAAGAGCTCGCACCCATCCGAAGCGACTAGGCCCCGGGTGGCACGAAGCCTTTTTTTTAGTCGCAGAGCGGAGGAAGTAGCGATCACTTTCCCTCCAAACTGAGTGACTTCTGTCGCAAACCCAACTTTTTATAATTTTTTAATACCAAATTCGGACGCGGCTTATCAAATAACACCTTAAACTATTTTTATATAGATTATACTAAATAACCGCAAGGTCGCGCCGCAAGTGTCGGGCGCAAGTGTCGGGCGCAAGTGTCGCGCCGCAAATGTCGCGCCGCAAGTGTCGGGCGCAAGTGTCGCGCCGCAAGTGTCGCGCCGCAAGTGTCGCAGCCGCAAGTGTCGCGCCGCAAGTGTCGCGCCGCAAGTGTCCGCGCCGCAAGTGTCGCGGTACCCAAGGAATAACGATAAAAAGCTTGGCAAAAAAAATCAAAAAAGAAAGCCAGCGCATCAAAGATGTTGTTGATTGAAACTTTTATTTTATTCGCCTAAGATATGAAATACCAGGTAATAAATTATATCATACTAGCGCCCAAAACCCGCTTCGCGGGCCTTGGTCGCTGGAATGTGGTCTTTGCATGAGAAATTTGCCTTCCCGATAGCTCGGGTCCTTCGGACCCCCTTCCCCCCGTCCGACCACATGCGCGCGTGCAACTTGCAAGAATAAGGAAATTTTATTTTTTCCCCATTATTCAAATTAGCCCTCAGCAGACATGGCAACGGGCCCGGCCCCGGGCTTTTTTCGGCCCCAAAAATTTGCATGCGGCCGGGCCGACGGGGCTCGGCCCCACTTCCGGCGGGGCCGGGGCTCGGCTTTGATCGCCGGCCCCGGGTTAAGCCAAAATGGGGGCCGAGCCCGGGGCCGCAGGGCCGCAATCAGAAATGCCGGTTGTAAAGCATTTTCAGTCAAAATATTCATGCAAATTGGCAAAAATGTTTTTTCAAAGGTTGCCATACAGCTCCATATCTATGGCAGCCAGATCATAACGGGTTCAGACCTGTATTTTCGTAGTTTTTGATAGTTGGGACGAATTATTAAACAAGTTCAATGAATTTTACCGATACCGATGTCCTAACTGTACCAGCACACATAAAATTTTCATTGCAAATTTGCATATTAACATCCGAATTTAGACGCAAATGAGCTATTTTAGTTTCCGGGGCCGAGCCCGGCCCCGGAAAATTCGGCCGGGCCCGGGCTCGGCCCCGCGAATTTGCATAGTTTTTCGGGGCCCGGAAGTGGGTGATTTTTTCATGCAAATGAGATTCCAGGCCCGGCCCCGGGGCTCGGCCGCCCGGAATTGCCATGTCTGGCCCTCAGTGACCCCAAAAATGAGTAAAACCGGCTTTAACTTTGTAAACTTGTATTTTATCGAAATTCTGAACACGCGATCGGAAACAGAAGGGTCGATTCCCCCGAGTGAAGGAGAATTAAGGCATTTTATGCAAGGGAAGAGCCTCAAATCGGGCCTCGAAAGTGACATCCACACACACACACACAAAGATACACGCCAAAATTATACAGGGTGTCCCAAAAAAACGAACCATCTGGCATTTCGCCGTGTTACATCCAATCGGCCCCAAATTTGGAAAAGAGGTGTATCAGGCCCCAAATAACAACAATCCTGACTTTAGCCCCGTAGCTACAGTCGTTCTCGAGTTATGCCAAAAACAAACATTATTTTCCATTTTTCACATGGTTTTCGTGGAATTATAGAATTATAGAAGAATTCCCTAGACATTAAGTGAAAATGATCCGGTAGGCTTTCTTTACCTCAAGAAATTTTTCCAAAGTAAAATTAATTTAATAAGCTTCGATTTAAGCGATTTTTACAACGCAAAATTACCCAAGTTCTTAAGCAAAATTAGGGATTCGCAGCCGGAAGTCGATGCAAATCGATGCAAAGTCCAAAAAGATAGCCGATAAAACTGTTCAGAATTCTCTGAAAAACAGTATTTTCGTTACAACTCGAGAACGACTGTAGCTACGGGGCTAAAAGTCAGGATTGTTGTTATTTGGGGTCTGATACAGTTGTGGTCCAAATTTGGGGCCGATTGGATGTAACACGGCGAAATACCAGATAGGTCGGTTTTTTTGGGACACCCAGTATAAGGTGGGATATAATTATATTTAGTATAACGGCGGTTCTGTGTTTCCTGTGTTTGTTTTTTAGAATTAAATGAACAAAAAGGTGTTTCAAAATGCGAACAGAAACTAGAAATATTGTTGTGAATAATCGCACAAGCATGGCGGATTCGGAAAATCGAGACCTAGCCAACGGATGGCGTCGAATTCGGGACTCTTTCGCTCCTTTAAACCGTAGCGCCCATTAAGTTCGGTGGCCAAAATTCAGAGCATTTCCAGACCGGTATCTGAAAAATCCAGTCGAGTCGGGGGCCGCGGAAAAAAACAGGGCAAAATATTTTGAAATTTAGTACTCGGAAACCCGGCAAATTCTTGGAAACCAGGTGATTACCGTGGCTGCGCGTTGGCAATCACCTGGCCTTCGGCTGCCTTTTGTATCCTATACCACCACATTCTGCCAATAGACACGCTGGCTTCAGACTTAGGCTTCCCATAGCCGAACCCCCTTGAAAAACTACTCCGATCGTAAAATTATGCTGTTTTGTTTTAAACGGTCAAAAAGTTAAAAAGTATAATAAGGTATTAAAAAAACCCATATAAGATCGTAGAAGCAAGAAGATTGTAGATATCTGTTGCCAAACGGGACTTGTAGACGGATTTAACGGAAGGGGTAGAATCCGCGGGGGGGTCCTTTCATAATGCCGGAATTTCATAATGTCGAAATTAATAATGTCGGCATTTATATAGGCTAATTTTTCGGGTAAAACCCGCGAATTCTATGCAAAAAATTCGACATTACGATGGCAAATCGGTTCCGGGGACCTCCTAGCTCCTGAAATGCATCAGATTTCGGGAATGTAGAAATGTAGAATGTAGAAATAGGTTTCGAATTCTAAGCCTTTTCAGACTGGTATCCCAAAAAAATTGTAGTGACACCCGAAGGTGCGACAAAATGAGACAAAAGACTGAAGGTATTCGAAAGCCTCGGGTTTACATGGGATTGTTGTTTTTGTTGCGCAAATTTCTGGTGTCATTGTAGGCGTGAAAAACCTAAACACGCAAAGTTTTTCTGAAACATCGATTGTTAAACTCGGGCGAAAAGACCAGTTGAACACGAATTTTGCGTCTTCAGGCTTCAGAAAAATACAAGTATGTTAAAGACACAGGTGCGGGAATCGACCCCTTTCGGCGACTGGGTATAGACAGTTACACGGCACACCAAAGTACACCTACAACAGTGAACGCCAAACGTGACTTGGTGCTTAATGTAACGGTCTAGACCTAGTCAACGGAATCGGTCGCATCTGATACTTTCTATCTAATAGGGAAACCCGACAAATTTCGGGGTCCTAAATCGGGATATCGGAATCTCTGCTTAAAAGCTCCAACCTGTAGATTGGCACTGGCAAAATCCACCAAACACCAAAACATCTTATGAAACATCGAAAGTCGAATTCGGAAAAAACGAGTCCGGGTGCTCAAGAAGGGACTAGAACGTCCGAGAATCGCCCCCATTTTAGCCGCTAGATTTTGACAGCTACGCGGCATTCCGAATGACGCATAAATCGGCGCTTCACGTAACTATCAAGACTCAGTCGGCAGATGAAATCGATTCTGGCATTTTCTAGCCCCTTGAAATCGTCAGGGCGGCTATTTTCTGGGGACCAAAATTCAGAGCATTTCCAGAGAGGTAGCCCATAAAAATTGTACTCACACCCGAAGACGTGGCAAAAAGGAGGGTAAAATACCGGCATTTTGTAGCCAGAAATCCCCTATTTTTTGGGCGGTTGCGCGTTTGCTCTGCAGCGGTGCGAGAAATTATGAATGGCAAAAAAACAGAAACCCTTTATGAAACAGAATTTTACTCATGAATATCAAAATGAACTCATGAATATGGAAAACAGAATTTTTATCTTTATGAAACATCGACCATCGAAGTACGGCGGGCACGCTTTGATTTTCTATGTTTCAAAACATTATGAATTAAGCTATGCCGGAATTGAGCATTCTTTGTACTATTTCATGCCGCAAAAAATGTCTCTTAATAGCATGGAAGAGATGATCAAATTTTGCAGTCAATAGAAAATAGGAAACCGAAAGTGCGTGCTTATTGAGACTAGAAAAAAGCGTCAAAGGTCCTCACATTGCGAAACATTTTGATACTATTGATGATAAGAAGAAGGAAAGAGTTTCCCTTGCCTTTCATATGTTTCAAAACATAAATAAAAAAATCGAA